TCCAACAGTGTCCTGAAGGCAATTGCTTCTGATTTAAAAAATACTGTCCCATTCTAAGACACTGAGTGGGACAGGTAATATGTAGAGTCACATTTTATTTATTTAGTTTCTATTTTTATTTTATATTTTATTACTAACATAGGATAAGTTATGTCATTAAGCAGAGTGCGGGCGAGTTCCAACAGTGTCCTGAAGGCAATTGCTGGTAAAAAAGACTGTCCCATTCTAAGACACTGAGTGGGACAGGTAATATGTAGAAAGTCACATTTTATTTATTTATTTAGTTTCTATTTTATTACTAACATAGGATAAGTTATGTCATTAAGCTATTACTAACAAAATGGATCATGTTGGCTGAAATATATATATTTTTTTAACTTAAAAAAAAAATTCTCATCTCTTTTATTATTATAATAGATGTACTAGTATTATACTAGCTACCCGCCCCGGCGTCGCACGTGTGTTATTTATACCAATACTAGTAGTATTAGCACAAATATCACTCATAGGTACGATGAGTCACTCATTACACTCGGTCACAGGTTGAAATCGTTTTCAATATAGTGACAGATACACTGCGATTGTTGTGTAACTACGTAGTTTATACTATTATTAGATATTCTATGATAATATTATAAATAACCGTAAGGAAACACATGTTTTTGTGATCATTGTGTGAATTTATAAACTGTACATTTGATGTAGAAATTTGTTATAAGGAAGAAGGCGATTGTTAGTAATGGAATAGAATAGAATAGAATAGAAAATCATTTATTCAAATAAACTTAATTTAAACACTTTTGAATAGTCAACAATTTTTTTTAAATCTATCGCTTATTTGGAAAGCTGTCTGAATGGGAATTAGTAATCCCTATTGAAGATAAGTAGAACTTGTATTTTGGACACATTTTTTAACTCTTTGTGCCGTGCGAGGAATCGAACGCGGCGCGGAAGTAACGCAGTTTACTAAACCGCTAGACCACCGCGGCCGAGGCATGTAAATATCCAGTTTAACAGGTGTACAGTAAAATGTTAAAATCAACATAAAACAGAGTAAGCATAGTGACAATAATAAATAATTCATAAAGCCCGTATTAGCAACGAGCGATAGTGTACCAACTGAGTTTTCATTCATTTTAGCTGCCTCTGTTTGTCTAGATAACACTCCGCCTTATTACAAATGGTCGCGGGTTCGATTTTAGCACTTTTCATTTATTTACTAGCTGTTCCCGCGATTTCGTCCGCGTGGAATTTAACTTTACTTTTCTAAAATAAATATAGCCTAAGTTACTCATTACATCAACTATCTGCCAAAAAAGACCCGTCAAAATCGGTCCGGCCATTTCAGAGATTAGCTGGAACAAACACACATACAGACAAAAATTGTAAAAAATGTCATTTTGGTGTATGTACCGTATTTATATTCATATGCTTGTAGTAAAAAACGGTTATTTCAATATTACAAACAGACACTCCAATTTTATTAAGATGTACAGATTAGAAAACTACCAAACAAACATTTGTATTTATCATTATGATCGTTTGTATCAGCCTGGGTGATTTATATGTATAATATATTTACAAAAAAAAAAGGAAAATTTTCCCTAGTTTAGACTAAAATAGAATAAAGTAGAAAATTCTTAAAAAAATCTGTCAGAGACCCTGAGGAAGGACCTGGCCTACATTTTAATGCGAAAAAAGATTTTTTTTATGGATGAGAATGGAATAGTGCACCCGCCTGCGCTAACGGTTTACTCTGGCGGGGCACCAGTGGGGATGATAAGACGAACATGAGGTCAAATCAGTTAGCCCATCGTGACAAATTTACAAAGAATTTATCACGATGGTTTCCAGGGGGAACCGCGCGGAGGTCAACCTGACATGGTGCATTGCTAGTAATGGGGTCATTAGTCCACATTAGTAACAATCCCCTTCCCCCCAGCGAAAAAAGAGTTATAAGGGGTTGAAAGGGACGATGAGATGTATATCGCATATATTGAAATAGCGTCATTTTTAAATCCAGAAGTACATACATATCTAGAAATGCCAACTGTAAAAGAAGAGATACAGAAAGCCTGTGGAAGATATAAACACATGTTAGCCCGCAATAAGAACCAGTTAGCTTTTAAACTACTGGATACAAATAACTGACCATCTAGACTAAAAAGGGATCGCCTTGCCAACATCTAAAGAAATTAAATGAAATGGCACCTTACTGGATGTGCCTCATCTCCGAATGCCCATAACGCAGCACAATCTGATTATAGCAGGAAAGGCTGATTGCAGATAGAAAAGAAAAGAAAAAAAAATTAAAATCCAGAAGCTTGAAACTTATTTTTAGGCCTAACTTATTGTTGATTAGTTTGTAAATATTGTATCCCTAAAAATATCCGCAAAATAAAATGGTAGCTAAGGTCACAATTTCACGCGGACGAATCATCCGGGCACAGCTAGTATAACATATATTCATCCCGAGCGAAGTCGGGACACGCCACTAGTTATATTTAGGTGCTGAGTTGGCATGACTAATAAAACTTGCGTCAACTGGATGAATTCATATGTTATTGTTTTATAATTGCTCACCACATATTATTGTTAATGTATTTTGTAATGAGAAAGCATTGTTTGTAAGGGTAACAGCAAACCCCGTTTTTTTTTAAATAAAAAATACCCTATTTTTAACATGGTTTCATGTCAGATCGACCTCCACGCGGTCCCCCTGGCAACCATCATTGTTAATTTCTGGTAAATTAGGCCATTCTGGACTATTTTTTTTATTGGGTTGTTTGTATTGTCAGGTGTTTAGACCTGTAGCACTGCGACCTATGTAGATCTATTGTGCTCGCCCTTTTTTAAACTGCTCTACCTAGGACCCGTCAGGGACAAGAATTGAAGGATATTCTTGGGAGCGATGGTTTTTATCTCCTCAGGATATCTTTTATTAATTTTATTTGACTCTCTTTTTTTATTATCACATTTTTATTGGATTATACATATATTATCTAGTACTTCAGCTTAATGTGTTCCTCTGAAGGGGATGCTAAATTATCGCAATAAATACTATATTATATTGTACTAATATTATATTATATTGTAGTTATATACGTACGTAAATGAATAAATATATATTTCTTTTTAAATCTCCTCAGGATAGAGTATAAACTTTCCAAAGGAGATATTACGTTTATGCTTATGCATATATGTAATATCTCCTTTGCAGCCCACTCTTTTAGGCTACAACCACATAGCTTGTGTAGTGGCGTTTCCTCTCCAGTTAAATTCTGGGCTAACTGACCTGACTTAGTGCTCATCCTGTCATCCCCAACTCCACTACCACATAAATCATATGAGAGGATGGGTGTAACATTCTAGAAACATCCATTGAAATAAAAAGAAAAACCACAGCTGCACTAAAGTTACATAATAAACATCACAACAAACATTTTCACTGAAAACATACTGCAATCGATCCAAATTAAAAAAAATCATCTTAATTATGTTTTTTTTATTGAAGATAATAGAATGTTGCACCTGGCTGCGCAAAGGTTTACGCTGGCAGAGCACCAGTGAATGATGATGATACGATGACATGAAGTCATGTCAGTTAGTCCATCATGGTAAATTCATCATGAATTTATGACATAATTTCCATATGGAGGTCAACCTGACGTTATTAGTCCACATTATTAGCAATCCCCATCTTAAATTTAATTATTAACCTTAAAATTGTTCCAAATCCATAAATCCCAATCTGTTACCATAACCTAATGATATATCAAATATAGTTTAGTCCCCTACCATCATCCATAAGAGTTAATATTATTCACAGCACCATTCATTTAATAGAATTACAAAATTTGTCAATCCCCATATGATATGGTCGGTTTAAAAACTTTTCTCAAATGTAAATAATTTTATCTCCTATTTAAAAAAATGAAAATAAGTAATAAAAATTTCTCTGTCTTTTCTCCTATTTAAGTAAAATGATGAAACATTTTTATAGATACTGAATTCATTCTACTAAAAACAATAATTGGAATTCTGGAGTCCATTAAAAAGATTTTTAAAATAAATTTAAGGTTAACTCGATATAATTATTTTCAAAAAGCCTCCTATTTTAAGTCTTATTAATTTGTAAACTTATTTAATAATCATAGATATCTTTAAGTTATTATAATGATTAAATGATTCGGATAGCATGGAAGATATATATTTCTGATATAGTGGAGACAGTCATAAAAATTTATATTTTACAGTCAAATAAAATTTGCAAACACTAAAACAACTAGTGTACTAAAGTGAGGAATAAAGTATAGAAAAAGACAAGACATTTACATTCACATGACAATAATATCATATTTAAAATAAAATTTAAAAAATAATATCCAGAAAGTAACTATTCAACTCACTACTATTATTGCACATACAAGTAAAACTAAGTCAATTAAAAACCAATAAAAATTAACATTTCATAAATTATTAAAAAGTAGAAAATTATTGTCTATTATAAGTATATACAAGACATTAGACATGCATATATTCTGAAATTAAATATTTAATAAGCAAATAAATTGTATTAATCAACCAACAGTCAAACCTTGTGCATTAGAACATTTCTATTACCAAAATAAAAATCATTACTATATTATCTAACACCTATGCATAACACTAATTGAACTGGGTGAACATTTAAAAAAAATATCCAACACATGTAAATATAACTAAATAATCTCAAAGCAGCAATCTACAACAGTATTCAAGAACAGTGTGCGGCCTATTTGAATGTATTTATAGAACTACATTCAACTACTGAGCTATCAGAGAAAGCTAAAAAGATACTACTGGCTGAAAATTTACCATAGACCTAGCTGAATGCAAATATTCCTTGGTGTTATTGTATTAAAAAAACGTGCGAAGTAAGTGCTAGGCTGCGAGTGTGAATTTGCTATAACAACGGAAACGAATATGATAATTTCATGCAAGTCTCTCAGACGGTTTACCTCCGCCGATGTCCATGGCACTACATAAAACGTCTCCGCGGACACCTCACAGCGGTCCTTCCGCACACGGCAGTATCAAAACGCACATAATTTTAACTTCGTCATAATTAAAGCAGATTCCAATTTCACACTTCCTATTGTCAAAGCTTTTTTAATGAACACACCACGTCACTATTCTAACAAGTATACTTAATTACCAATAACCCGGAATAAACTCACAAATTCGAGATCACAAATTGTAAACTAAAAACATACCTCCTCAGGCATGAACGATCCTATATAAACTGTCCCTTCGTTGTCGGTCGTCCAAGGAACTAGATATCAAGGTCTCGCGCCTCGTCTCGATCGCAGCAAACGCGGTTCCAAGAATCGCCTAAGGTTATGTCGCGAACTTTATCACTTTTAAACTATCACAACTTATATTAGCACCAATACACTATTTATTTGTAATTGTAATCAAAAGATACAAGTTATTTTGAATAGTTTATGGTTGAACTTATCAATTTTGCAGTGTTTTACAAGTGAACGAACGTCAAAAACTGATGATAATTTGTTCAGGTGTGCGTGCGTATGTATATAGACGTCACACTTATAAACAGTTGTCGATTACTACGATTGGCTGTGGAGACGTCACATGGCCACTTTTGACGTATTGGACGTACGCTGTGGAAGGTCCACTGACCAATAGGCATAGCGCATGCGTGCACTAGCGCCTCTTAATGTAAACTCTGAAAGCGCGCAATGAATTCAAAACTTTGAAAGTGTGTTAACAAAACTATACTTGTAATATATTCTAAAATTACTCAATTATTATTTGATATGACCATTATAAGTGGTACAATAAAGTAGGTATAAGTTTGTTTTATTTATAATGAATGAAAACATTACGTAATAATAACTTTATGGAGTATAAGCATATATACAATGATAGTTCCATAAATTAATAATATATCTTCACAACTGCTATCACTACGGAGTGACAACTCCGTAGACAGAGGTGTTACCCACTGTCGATGTAGTGGTGAATGCAATAGTTAAATTTTAGTGGGTAAATGTAGATACCTATAAAATAATGACTATAATATTAGTCAGTAGATTACAAAAAAATTGCATTAATTTAATTTTTTAAGTCATTTATTATTATAGATAATTATGATGGATCATCCTAGTCTATGAAATGTATGCAAGAAAAAATGAAAAATTAATGAATTATGGATTGTAAGAAGCATATACATATAGAAAATAAATAAGGGCAATTTGCACTTTTAAAAATAATGTTTTTTTTTTATTTTTAATACTTAGGTTTGCTATTTCTTAATAAACCAAGTACTATTATGAAATATTATCTTATCTGTGGTACTACAAATAATTGTTAGTCCATATTCCCGAAGTCAACCATTGCATATACTATACCATCAGGCGTTCGGAATATATTGTTTCTAAGTTTGCAGCACAGCAACGGTCAAAGGGACATCGATATTACAAACAGAAGCTAAACTTCGATGTTTCATGCTGTTCTTATAAAGAAAAACTCTTATTTTAGTAATAATTATAACCTACAAACTATTAAACGTTCAGATTTAATCTCCTCAAACTGTATGAATGCAAAAACAAGTTTAAATAAAGATTTCATTGCGTTTATATACCCGTACATAAATAGCAGGTAACAGCAAAGTTTTAAAACGAAAATAACAAAACAGAAGCCAGTCATTTCACGTTAAAAATATACAGACTAATAATATTACAGTGAGATAAGGAAAGCAGTGAGTCACGAAGGCTTTATTGGGGCCTCCCGAATATTTCGGTGCGTGGGTAGATTTCAGGATGAATGTTTCAGTGCGGAGGGTGACTGTAGAGGGTGAGTCATAAACTCATAACAGAACGCGTTACGCACAAGTACGCGCGTGCGTATAGTATTTTCATTTCACAGAGGGCGCGTACCCCTATTAGATGCTTATTAGAGTAAAGTTATACGGTTTAGATATTTATAATAATAATAATAATAATCTCGAGACAATTCACACAGCGGCATCTACACCCAAATTAAGCTAGCTAAAGCTTGTGTAAGTGATACAAATACATAGATTTTTTTTTCGTAAATACTTACATATTATACATAGAAAACACCCAGACCGATACAAACAATTATACTCATGAATACAAATGTTTGTGCCGTGCGAGGAATCGAATCCGCGACTATCGAACATAAAGCGGTGTGCTAGACCGCTAGACCACCGAGGTCGTCATATAATACCTATATATGTACATATTAACAAATTTACTAATTCATTTTTAAAATTTTACCTACTGTTAACACTGGTGGAGATCTTTGGAGGCCTATGTGCAGCAGTGGACGTCTTCCGGGCTGAATTGATGATGATGGTAACTATTAATACCCAGATAAATTTTTCGTTACTACGTATAACGTTTATACGTTTAATATTAATACAGTGGACCCCCCATTATCCGACAAACGTTTTGCAGGGCAGTGTCGGACCATCGAATTTGTCCGGAATTTTTTAGTAAAGAGTATCTTGTAATCCGACAAATTACAGATCCAGTGATAAGATTCTATGTTATATATATATGTATGTATGTAGGTATATGCACTCTCAACTATATTGTCAAAAAAATATTCAGTAATAAATAATAGACCATGTCGGATTACAAGGGGGGCCGGATAAGACAGGGGCCGGATTACCGCGGGTCCACTGTATATACATAGAAAAGAGCCAGATGATACAAACAATCATACTCATGAATACAAATGTTTGTGCCGTGCGAGGAATCGAACCCGCGACCATCGGAAGTAAGGTCGTCAAATCTCTCATTAAAAATTACAAATAACACACATAACAATGACATAGAGAACTAAAAATCATCATTACCTTGCCTCAACAAGGCAATGATGATTTTTTATGATGATGATGATGATGATGATGATTTTGATGATGATGATAATCTCATGATTTGTGACCTCTTCTTCCACTGTTTGCTATCAGCCGTCATATCTGAACTTACTCTCCTTTTATACATATCATCTTTCACACAATCCGTCTTTACGTTGGTAGTTCTCTCCCATAACCATCCATCGAGAACTAATACAATATTATCCCTAATCTCCTGGGTAAATTATCCATTAATGTACCTTTTTTATTGATGATAATGGAATTGTGCACCCGCCTGCGCTAACGGCTTACGCTGGCGGGGCACCAATGGAGGATGATAAGATGAGCATGAAATTAGGTAACTTAGGCTAATTTTATTTTAGAAAAATACATTTAAATCCACGAGGACGAAGTCGCGGGTACACACGCATATATATATATATATATATATACATACATATATGTAGGTACTCTTTTGTTTATTTAAAATCTGTGGTCAAATTGAGAATTGATTACTGTGTAGCCGTGGCGAAATATGTAATTATAGAAGTCTTTGACAATAGTGTATAATAAAGTTCAAACATATAATTCAAATTAATTATGCTCGAATTTCGAGCATTGGACGACCACTAGTAACTAAAATTACTACATATAATTATTCTATACTTTACTCTAGTATTATTGGTATATATCGTGTTTAAAAAACATATATACGACGCCACAACTATATAATTATAATCACTAACATACTGGTTCTGCTTCAATGAAATTTATAGATATAAATCAAGATTTATGTATTAATTTACATATCAATATGATGTGGCGTGAATATGGCAACATCGTCATTTTCGCCTACAACCTGTTCTGTCGATCGTAAACATATCTATCCAAGTTTATATACGTATCGATACGTATCCATAGTACGTACGTTCTACGTCTTTGTAAAAACTGTTTTACGTACGCATATACCCAATCAAGGTAGGTATGGCCCTACAGTTTGGATGAATCATATTTTTATCAATTCCAAATGAAACAAATACAAGTGGGACGAATTGTATTTGTGGCTTTTGGAAAAATCTACGGCTATTCAGATGCTGTTTGATGTAATATTTGTGATGTTAAAGACAGATGTTTTATATCACTTACTAGTTGTCCCGGCAAACGTTGTTTTGTCATATAAATTAAATCGCTATTAAAAAATAGGGGTGATGCTTGAAGGGTGACAATTTTGGGTTGTACCTATGTATTTTTCAATCCTAAATAATAATAAAATATTATGTCAAAAAAATAAAATTATATATTTAGTATATCACTTACTGTACCGGCAACGTTGTTTTGCCATATAAATTAAAATCGCTATTAAAAAATAGGGGTGATGCTAGAAGGGTGACAGTTTTGGGTTGTATGTATTTATCAATCCCAAATAATAATAAAATGAAAATAAAATATTATGTCGAAAAAATATATTTAGGGGTAGATATTTCTTACAAGTTAGGGGTATGAAAAATAGATAGTAGGCGATTCTCAGACCTACTGAATATGCATATAAAATTTCATTAAAATCGATGAAGCCGTTTGGGAGGAGTATGGTAACTAACATTGTGACACGAGAATTTTATATATAATAATATTTAATTATTAATCTTTATAATTATTTCGACAGCCTCGGTGGTCTAGTGGTTTAGCATACTGCTTTACTATCCGATGGTCGCGGGTTTGATTCCTCGCACGATACAAACATTTGTATTCATGAGTATGTTTGTATCGGTCTGGGTCGTTTCTTTGTATGATATGTATATACGAAAAAGAAAATTATCTATCCATATATTTGTATCAGTTATCTAATACCCATAACACAAGCTTTAGTTAGCTTAACTTGGATCTAGATGGCGTTATGTGTATTGTCCTGAGATCATTATTATTGCATAATGAATGCAAATGTTCGTGCCGTGCGAGGAGTCGAACCCGCGACCGTAACCGTAAGGCGGTGTGCTAAACCGCTAGACCATCCAGGCCGTCTTTTCACGATAGTTTTCAGTGGAACCATGTGGAGTTCAAACTTACATGGTTCTTTGCTAGCAACGGGGTTTATTAGTACACATTACTAATTATCCCCCTCCCTCCCCCCCCCCACCCCCTCCTCCCCGACAACTGAATTCCTCGCAGGCTTTCAATAAAATTGTCAGTTACATTTGTTGAAATGAGTCAGTGTAAAGGTAGAGTCAGACGGGCGCCGCGGCGCGCCTCCGCGGCGTCTGTTTGAGGGGTGTTGCGTGAGGCGCCACACTTCCACACTAGTCAACAATTTTACCGAGCAACCCTTTCATCAAGCACCTTCAAATGTATACTAATACAAACTGCCATGTGCGTGTGAAATATATAGCCTACAAGCTTTGCCCGCGGTTTCATCCATTGAAATTTACAGCCTATATGTTATTCTGATGCACAAGTTACATTAATGTATAATTTTATAAATATCCGTTCAGTAGTTTTTGCATGAAAGAATAACAAACATCTATATTTTCAAGCTTTCGCTTTTATAATTGTAATAATAATATGTTATTCTGATGTATCTTAAGATTCTTACTAATATCACAGATAATATAATTGCTAATCTTATAAACGCGGAGGTTTAGTGATTCTGGATGAATGGATGCATTTTTCTAAGTGGGGACGAGCTACTCACCCGGCATCGCACGAGTCTACATGTATTATACATATAAACCTTCCTCTTAAATCACTCTATCTATTTAAAAAAACCGCTTCAAAATCCGTTGCGTAGTTTTAACGATTTAAGCATACATAGGGACAGACAGCGAAAGCTATTTTGTTTTATTTAAAAAAACCGCTTCAAAATCCGTTGGGTAGTTTAAAGATTTAAGAGTACATAAGGACAGACAGCGACAACGACTTTGTTTTATAATATGTAATGATCACAATACATGGACCCTGAGTAAAGGTTACAACAATTTGATAGAGAAAGAATAAGGATTTAAGATCTACCTCCACTATTTCTTTTATTCAGGAATGAAATGGTCAGTTAGCACATCGTCTAGTATATAGGCAATTACTAATAGCCAAGAACCTGCATAATATTTAAAAAAAAACATTTGGTGGTGAACAGTAGAAAATCGTAAGTCACGCGATTTTGCAACCCTTTAAAAGTAAAACAGGAAATTGCGTGTAATTTACACATAAATATTATGTCACATCCGCATTACATGTTGGGGTGTTTGAATGATATTTAATTAATATGCAAGTTTTTTTAGATAATTGTAAACATACAAAAATAAAACTACATAAAAAAATACGCTAGTTACGGTTTACGCTGGCGGGGCACCAGTGGAGGATGATAAGATGAGCATGAGGTCAGGTCAGTTAGCCCATAGTGACATATTCACCAAGAATTTATCACGAGTATTTCCAGGGATCAACCGCGTGGAGGTCAACCTGACATGGTACATTGCTAGCAATGGGAGCCGCGATGGTATTCTGTGGATACTTTCATACATCCTATTAATCTTATAAACGTGAAAGGTTGTTAGTATGGATGGATATTTGATACTCTATCACGCTAAAACTACAGAACGGATTATGATGAAACTTTACAGTAATATAGCTTATACATCAGAATAACATATAGGCTAACCGCGGGCACATCTAGTATAAACATAAATATATATATATAATAATTCCCATTCCCCATTTCCACGAGTATTTCCAGAGATCAACCGCGTGGGGGTCCATTTGACATGATACATTGCTAGCAAGTGGCTGAATAGTCCACTATACTCAATCCCCTTCTCCCCTGTTTATTGTAGACAATAAGGGAAAGGGGGTCGGACCAAAAGGGGTTGTTTAGGTCCAACCCCTCCATCCCCTCCCATCTAGGTATTCATCTTATATATAAAATTCTCGTGTCACAGTTTTCGTTCCCATACTCCTCCGAAACGGCTTGACCGATTCTCATGAAATTTTGTGAGCGTATTGAGTAGGTCTGAGAATCGGCCAACATCTATTTTTCATCCCCTAAATGTTAGGGGTAGTCCACCCCTAAATTTTTATTTTATTTTAAGGCAAAACAACGTTTGTCGGGACAGCTAGTAAAATATAAAAGCATGTAAAGTTTCCACTGAGGAGATAAAAAGCATCGGTCCTAAGAATATCCTTCAATTCTTGTCATTCATGGGCCGTAACGGACTCTGAAAAAGGGTGAGCATAATAGATCTATGTAGATCGCAATGCTACTAGTCCAAGCACCTGACAATAGTCCAAACAACCCAACATAAAATATAGTATCTGGGTATTCAAACGGAATCGGGTGAAGGAAAGCCAGTATAAGAAGTGGCCAGGGCTTCGATCTAGTGCGTCACGCAGGGCTAGGGCGTCCGGCGACAACGCGAGGGGCGCCACGGCCTGCGGCGGCGCATCGGCGGGCGCCGCAAGTTACCAGACTGCCAGTGATGCCAGATAGGGAGGAATTACCACTAACTTGGGGAGATTTTGTGGTTATAGGGGGATCGGGGAGACAAATGTTTAGATATATAGTTAACTGTATATCTAAACATCTTACATCAATACATATATACAATCTTTATTCGTATCGTATATATTACAAAAGAAGGCTATAAATAAATATATATTATTATATAATAACATTATATAATAATATATATAAATAGGAGTAGAAATAATCTTTATTCAAATAAACTCATTACAAGCACTTTTGAATAGTCATATTTTGATTCTACCACTCATTCGGAATGCAGATTCATCACAAGAAGAATGAGCAAGAAACTTGTGTGTTGCTCTTTTTAATAGATTTTTTTTTTGTAATATTATGTTATCTGTGATAATAGTAAAAAAATATAATACACTTTAGCTTCACATAAAATTAAAAGATAAAATAAACATAACAAAAATGTTTGGAATATCTGTAGTGAGAATAAAATGCAAACTCCCTTTGGTTTCGTACTGGATTTATGAGCGTAATATTGCTTGCAATTGCTTTTGAATAAAGGACAGAAATGGAAGAATATTCATGAATTATAAATAAAACGTGTGAAACTAGACACCTTACATAAAAGTAAAATAAATAAACAAAACAAGAAGACATTAAGAGAATTTAGTCCAGAACAATACCATGTGAGCTGTAGGATGGTGCTGGTGAGTTTCATTAACGTTTCGTTTCACTCTTAAAAGTTGCCGCGATTTACAAATTATTTCTTAGTATTTCAGCTGTATCACATTCGTAATATATTAAATAATTAATAACTGTATTAACTTAAATGTAGCAATTGTTATATGTAAAATTAGTAAATGACACCCGCACCATGATAAGTGCACACAGTATAGAGGAAAGCAACACATTCTTCTAGCCCGATATAAATAAACGGACAAACGGTAGTACACTCGTATAGGCTCGTACACTCGTAAAGACCTCAATTTTGTCCAAGAAGGTTGATCCAAACCTTCGACTGGAAATAATCCCATCCACCTGCAAAAGCGCATAGATCTTCGGAGACAGTTGTGCATCTCACATTTGTCCAAATAATGGCTGCAAATGTAATATCAATAAAATATTTGCATAATATATGTACAACAGGACTGTTAATATGTTTTAGATGATAATTTCATTCTTTTTATAAACTTTCTATTTTTGATATCTACTTTTTTATGTCACTTTTGATTTCTTTATATGTTGCTGTTACTTTTCGCTGTGAGCCCTTTTGGGAAATATACACATTTATTACTACTATTCTGATTTTTAATAAAATAGTCGTTGTGTTTACGCTCCAGATCCATTTCTTTCATTTGTTTCTATCTGTGATAGAAACAAATGAAAGAAAAAAAAAAAAGAAAAAACTCATTGTTTTATTAAAGTTTAATAACAAACCCAATCTTAACTAAGCAACATAATGATATTTGCAATGTCATCTGATTTATTGATTGACAAGAGATGACAGAATTATGCAATGTAACAAATATTAAAAACTCCTATTATAAATAAACCACGAGACACTTTAGATGAAATATAAGAATACATTAGAGAGGGGGAGGGGAATGTTAGTAATGTGGACCTATGACCCCATTGCTAGCAATATACCATGTCAGGTCGACCTCCACGCGGTTCCCCCTGGAAACCATCGTGTTAAATTCCTGATGAATTTGCACGATGGGCTAACTGACCTGACCTCATGCTCATCTTATCATCCTCCACTGGTGCTCCGCCAGCGTAAACCGTTAGCGCAGGCGGATGCTCCATTCCATTATCATCCATAAAAAAAAATACATTAGAGATATTTTGTAAAAAATTAGGGGAAAAGCAACACGGTCTTCTGGTAACTTTCCCAACCACGCCACACTGTCGTCACACACAACTGTATGTGCCCACCATTTTGACACTTTCTTTGCAAAAAAAACTTTGGGTGGATTTTGTCAAAAATTAGGGAAAAATCAAGACGGTCTGGTAACACTCCCGACCACGCCGTACCGTCGTCACACGCAATTGAATGTAACACCCCAGCATTTTGACACTTTATTTGCAAAAAAAAAAGAGGAAACTTTGCGTGGATTTTGTCAAAAATTAGGGGAAAATCAAGACGGTCTGGTAACACTCCCGACCACGCCGTACCGTCGTCACACGCAACTGTATGCAGCACCCCAGCATTTTAAATGTTTCGCCCTTGATATCTACCTATACCATCTAATTTAATAGTGCTTTGGTAACAACACTCTAATAATAAACTAGGTTTTGTTTCTTTTAAATTTTAAATGTACCAAATCGGTGACAGGTTTTGTTGAACTGACATAAAGCCATAATATAATACAAAATTATATATATATTTGACAATAACTGTGACCGCGGTTTTCAGAAACTTAAATGTGTTATTCTGAAATTTCAGCTATATTACTGTAAAGTTTCATTAAAATCTGTTCAGTAGCTTTAGCGTGAAAGAGTAACAAACATCCATCCATCCATCTATACATCCATACTCACAAAATCTATACATCCATATTCACGTTTATAATATTAGTATAATAAAATTTATAAATGCAAAAGTGGGTATTGTACGGAGATGGAACCCACAAACATTGTAAATCAGTGTGCTATATACTAAGCCGTATCGTCCAAACTTATGAGTGTCTAAAAATAAATGTTTAATAATAATGAAGGTTAGTTTTTCATAAATAATCCTTTATTAACATTATATTAATACGTTAAGCTAAAAATTTCGCGGACGAAGGATTTCTCACACTTATAGTTGATATAGAGTAGGAGCGTAAAAATCTAATATTTTTTTTAAATTATACATAAACCACTGGGCGAATTTATAAGTTTCAACATTATTCTTTTTATTTCTACAAAACTTCATTTCTTGAACCTACTCGATGTAATCCAGATATGAAATCTTTAATTTCCATAGACAATTTTTAAATATAAAATACTTATTTAAGTATAGAAAACCTTCCTCAAATAAAAAAAACAAATACAAAATTGAAATTCGAACACATGTCAATCAGATATTTCAATTCAACTGCACCACGTTTATAATCATTTGATATTACGTAACATTGAGCTAAACTTTTTAAATAAATATTACAAAATGCCGGAGAATATAATGAAAATACCACAGAGTGCGCCCCCCGTCGCCAGGGCAGGCGCCGGAGACATATCAGAGAGAGAGCTGAGCAGGGAGCGTCATAAGCTGACTACACCCACGTAATTCAGTTTTTTTTATTGGGTTGTTGAGCTATGCTTGGACCTGTAGCACTGCGACCGACTAAGATATATTGTGCTCGCCATTTTTCAGAGTTCTCTACCTAGACCCGTCAGGGACAAGAATTGAAGGATATTCTTAGGAGCGATGGTTTTTATCTCCTCGGGAAAGAGTGTAAACTTTCCAAAGGAGATATTTCGTTTATGCATGAATGGGCTACAACAATATAGGATGTGTAGTGGCGTTTCCTCTTCAGTTTGGCAAAATTTGTAGATTTTTTTATTGTGCATAGGCCTAGATTTGCCATATGCGTATGTGTTTCACTTTGATACGATGTGGTAACTTGGTATTTTGGTCAGCAAGATGTTTTCCAGGCTGAAATGAAGATGATGATGTTGGTGATAAACAAGCATACTACTATCTAATGGGAGATGGTTACCGTAGCCTAAGGAAGCCTGAACACCAAGGGTGTCACGTGCGCGTTGCCGACCCTTAAGAAATCTTAATATACCCTTCTTGACAAACCATGCTATACGTTTGATTCGCACCTTTGTTAGTCTTGATATTATACACTAGTAAAGTTTCAAATCACTGAAAGAACTAAATAATATTTTCGATTCATTTTGTTCATGTTGGTCTATTTTGACCCTTATGATATGTCAAATTTGCTGTTAGTTCCGAGTGCTTTTGAGTTATTAAAACCCAGGGATGTTATGGATATGAAATTTCGGATACGGATAGGTTTCGGATGTAGGAATAGTTCTTATACCGGATACGGATACGGATGCGGATATGAAATTATTTCGGATTATCCGTTAGTTTCGGATAATTTCGGTTACAGATATTAATTTTTTAAGGAATTTTAAAAGTAAAATACAAATAACTAATAAAATGGTTACATAACTTGTCTAAATTAGGCTCCGCTCCTATCCGATATTGTTCGAAACTTTTATTTCGGATTCGGTTACGGTTACGGATATTTTATTATATCGGATATCCGATAGTTTCGGTTACTGCTACGGAGCTCCCTAAAAACTAATAAAAACTAATAAGAAACTCTGCTCTTTTCAAATGAGCTTCTACTTTATTACTATAGTACAGACTAATTTTTAAATACAGAAAAAGTAGTGAATGAGAACAAAGTGAATAAGTCCCTATGTATGCTTAAATCTTTAAAACTACGCAACCGGTTTTGAAGCGATTTTTTTAATAGATAGAGTCTACTCACAGCTAATAATTCTTATAAAACACTAGTACCTATAAAACAACAGTTTGTTGTCACTTCAATTTTCATTGGTAACTTTCATACACATTGACACAGGAGGATCCAACCAGCTCACCCAAAGAAGAAGCTGTTCTCCACTCCAGTCAGCAAGTTCACAGCGAAGTCCTGCGCGCCCAGCCCCAACCTGCAGCGCATCAGAAGCTGCCTGAATGACTACAAGAGTCGAACACCTAACAGAGCCGTTAAAATTGGTCCCAAAGCTGTTTCAATGGAGGATCTGACACCCACGAAAAGAATTAAAAGAGAACGGTAATAATAATAACCCTGGACAATTCATACAGCGCCATCTAGTCAGTAGAGTATGTGTTATGATTATATAACTAATAATAATCTCCGGACAATTAACACAGAACTATCTAGACCCAAGTTAAGCTAGCTAAAGCTTGTGTTACGGACACTAGATAAGTGATACAAAGACATAGATATTTTTTTCGTAAATACATACATATTATACATAGAAAACACACAGAAAGATACAAACAATCATACTCATGAATACAAATGTTTATGCCTTGCGAGAAATCGAACCCGCGACCATCAAAAGTAAGGCGGTGTGCTAAACCGCTAAACCACCGAGGCGGTAAATACATTTTTTTTATAAATAAAGTACAAACTCGTACTTTTCAGATTTTCAACTAATCAAAAGTTTTTTTTATGGATAATAACGGAATGGACCACCCGCCTGTGCTAACGGTTTACGCTAGCGGGACACCAGTGGAGGATAATAAGATGAGCATGAGGCCAGGCCAGTTAGCCCATCGTGACAAATTTAACAAGAATTTATCACGATGGTATACCAAGGGGAACCGCGTGGAGATCAACCTGGCATGGTACATTGATAGCAATAAGATCATCAGTCCACATTACTAACAATCACCTTTCTCCCCCAATCGATACAGGTTGACGTGGTAATAAGCATATTTTGTTGCCAGAATCGACAATGACTTACCAGCTTTAATGTCACCGGGGCTACACACTGCGGCCGAGGTCCGTGCCGCGGCCAGGATTGGCAAATTTCTAATGCTCAGTGCCTGGAGACGTAGGCGGGAAGAAGTACGCTGTCTTAGGAAGACACTCGAATTCCAAGTATGATTAAACTATGAGCATACGAAAGTTTCTGTTCTGACTACTACAGTATTAAGGTGCAATAGTACTCAGTATACTCCATCCTTTCAAACCCCTTTTTTTTACTTGGAGAAAATCCCTCATGAAGACTCGCCCACTCCGGGGGAGGCAAGTGGATACTGTGAGACTTCTACTCACTGAAAGCTCCGAGGTATCCCGACGATACGCACATTGCAGAAGTCTCGTGGGATCGAAGGATAGACCACCGTGATGGGAGCTCCCCCCTCCCCCCGCTCCTCTCTTGAGAAGGCGCGCGGGGATACGCGGGATTTTTGGGCTTTTCTTGGAGATGTGACCTCCCGGTCACATGATCTCTCCGTGGTCACATCTCAGGCCCTTGCGGCGATCTGAAGCGCCATGCGCCTCTCCAATTCCTTCAAACCCTAACACTATTTTAAATCAAGCTATTGATGGCAGAATTACTTGAGAATCTACTGCATCGAGTACCTTATGTGAATCATAAAGAAGAAACGAATTGACTATGAACAGAAATTAATAAAAAAGAAAAAATATATGACGTCGAACCCAAATGATATGGGATTTGATCGATCCCCCGTCTAATTTAAACGGGGATCGAAATTACGACGGGCTACTCTGAGGTACAAACTGCTAGTTATTCTCTCAGACTAAAGTCGTATCTGTCAGGCGGAAGTTGGCCTTCAGTCGCTCCATAAGTCCTTCTAGGGTCTGGAGTGCCATCTGCACTCGCCCCCTATCGTCCGTTGAAGCTGTAAAGGCCAGCTGCGGCCAACACCATTAGATTAGTTCGACAAAAATGTGATAAGGGCAAGCAAATTATGATATCGAATTAAACTGCAGTCTTTTGCCGGAATTTAGAGCTTCCTTTTTATAAATAGGTTTCGTGCTCGGAACGTCTCCGCATCCAAGTGTCTACTCTGAAGTCTTTACTTGACTCTGACAACGCCAAGGTGCGGATGGCGATGAGAGAACTCGAACGACTCAAGCAGCGCATCAAAGACAAGGATATGGAGAAGGTGGTCTTGGAAAGGGTAAATACTGAACATATTTTTTGTGTAATATCACTCACAAAAATGATTACACAGTATCATAACTATTACCTACCACAGAAATAATATATGTTAATGACAGCCCCGGTGATTTAGAGGTTTAGCATACCGCCTAATTTCCTATGGTCGCAGATTCAATTATTGCAGAGGTCTGTAATTTTGCAAGTCGTCATAACATGGGTAGAATCTAAAGATGGTGATTATCACTTTACAAGGAGGAAGTTAGGGCTTTGACTATTGTCTATACGTAATAAAAAAACACTTTAATTTTACTTTATCAGGAAAAAATGGCTTTGGAAAAAGACGTGTGCGCCGCACAAGATCAAGCCTCTGAAATGAGCATTGGTAAATTGAAAATATGTTACATTTATTTATCTTTATTGTAATTTATTTACTTAGATAAATAATGGAACAGTGCACCCGCCTGTGCTAACGATTTACGCTGGCGGGGCAGCAGTGGAGGATCATGGGATGAACATGAAGTCAGATCGTTAGCCCGATGTGACAAATTCACCTGGAATTTATCACGATAGTTTCCAGGCGAACCGCGTGGAGGTCAAACTGGCATGGTACATTGCTAGGAATGAGATTATTAGTCCACATTACTAACAATCCCCTTCCGCCAGTATTGCGTAATTAGGAAATCCAATAACAGATACCTCTTCAATTGATCGAAATTCATAAGGTACCTGTTATTTTTTTTATTCTTATTATCCTTTAGGAAAAGCAAAAGGAATTCTGCCCATACAGCCATGTCTGCACAAGACAATTCAACTATAATTTGACATCTGTCAGTGAACAAATATTTGGATGCGTTCAGAACATTATAATAATTATTAATAATGCGTTCACCGTATGTCATAGGAACAAAGCTAGTCATTTTTCTATATGAGTAATTGAAGATTTGTAGATTGCGTTTTTTTTTTAGGTTGGCGAAACTGTCGTAATGAGTTGGAAGGAGCTTTAGCGGCCGCTGCGGCCGGGGACCACGTGCTGGCACTAGAACGGGCCGCTGCTAACGCGGCGCGGGCGCAGCGGGACCACGCGTACTCTAGGGTACTCACCACCCTACTATCTACGCAATAAGAGCTACATTGGAAAAACGCAATCTTAGAATTTATAATCAAATAGGTACTCAGGCAGAGGTAAAAAATTGTGTTAATACCTCAGCCGCCGAGCAGCTAGCAGTAAGATGTGATTCTACTATAGGCTCAGCTTAGGCAGTGACATATATATAAATATATATGTACATACATATACATACCACTTTCATTAAAAGGCGAAACAACTGATAAAAAATTAAATTGAGATTTAAAAAATTTGTTACTTGTTAGTAATGTGGAGTGATGACCCCATTGTATCACGTCAAGTTCACCTCCACGTGGTTCCCCCTGGAAACCATCGTGATAAATTCCTCGTTATTTAATCACGTTGCGCAAACCGATGAACCCATTGCTAGCAATGTACCATGTCAATTTGACACCACGCGGTTCCCTCTGGAAACCATCGTGAAAACTCCTGGTTATTTAATCACGATGTGCAAACTTTATTATCGTTCACTGGTGCTCCTTCAGCATAAACCGTTAGCGCAGGCGGGTGCACCATTGCCATTACCATTGTGGAATGAACTTCCTGCCGAGGTTATCCCATGATGGACTACAGCATGGGGTTTTTCAAGAAGGGTATATTAAGGTTTCTTAAGGGTCGGCAACGCGTACGATACCCCTGGTGTTTCAGGCGTTCATAGGCTACGGTAACCATCTACCATCAGATGGGCCGTATGCTTATTGCCACCACCATAGTATAAAAAAAACCATTTCATTATCATCCATTAAAAAAAAACAAAAATATGCACAGCTGTCAATGTTAGAAGACGAAGTGTCAGAATACGAAGCCCTGCTGTCTTCTGTCGAGGAAGAAGCGGCTGCGCTGCGTCGCGACGTTGACGAGAAGCAGCTCGCACTGCAGCATGCTACGGAGAAGCTGCAATTGGAGCAACAGTAAGTGTTAACCATTTGCTTGAAAGATTGCTTTCAGCAACAAATTCAATTTATTATTTGCCATCATGGTCTTGCGATTTAGCACACCGCTTTACTTCCGATGGTTGCGGTTACGAATCCTCGCACGATACAAATATTTGTATTTATGTGTATGATTGTATTGGTCTAGGTGTTATCTATGTGTATCATCTATGTATTTACAGAAATCCCATATACAAAATCCGAAATAGATATCGCGCTGCCTTCTTATTATGCATTTCCATTCTGAAGGTCTACCGAACCCTACACTTTTGGCTAAAGCAAAGTTCTGTAGCATAACTAAAGCAGCAGGGGTTGCGCAGAGCTCAGGAGCGCAGTTCCCAAGAATGCGTCGTGCTGGAGGAGCGCGTGTCGCTGGCGAATGAGGAGTGCTCCTTGCTGCGGGAACAGCTGGCTACCCTGCGCCGCCAACAGGGGCGGCTCGCGGCCGAACTCGTCTCCACCAGGGAACAGCTCGACTGGTGGCCACGCCCGCTCACCAGGTATAGATTTCCATATTCACTACACCCCTAGTTGCTGAATTCTCGACATGAATGGCAATTTTCCACTGCATGCTTTTCCAGAAACTGTTTCACCTACGATTGGTAAACCAAGCGTCAATATTATTAGATAAATAATTATTACAATAAGAAAGTACAGATAAAACTTCCTGAAATGGTGGCAATACATCTTCAGTTACTTTCTGTATTGCAGGAGCTCACCATGAATAACGATCCCCTTTTTTTAACTTGGGGAAAATCCTCTTGGAGACCCACCCGCCTCGGGGGAGGTAGACGGGTACTGCCGGACTCTTACTGGCTGAAAACCCTAAGGTGTTCCTTCTCTTAAGCTTTTGTCAGAGTTACGGGAATGCGCAAGCAATTTTCCGCAATCCTGACGGTAAATGACGATCCCCTAACAATATTTATTCGTCTATTTGGTATCATTTGAAGATCACATGCACTCATTAGAGACAGGTGATTGATGGTAATGTGTCCCGGCCTTCTGGTGATATGGTGGATATAAATAACACACATTTTTAATGATATTTAATAATTTAATAGAAAGATTGGAATATCCAATCTTTCTATTAAATTATTAAATAAAACGCCATTAAAATTAGTCTTCATATAATGCAATGATCATGATCAATTTGATAATGACAAAATGTAGGTTATTATGTCAAAACTGACATTGACTTCTTCTTAGTCGGTACACTCTTGTCAGAGTGGTCGTGGTCAACATTTTGAATCACGATGAGTGAGGTTTTTGGTAATACGGCGCCATTCGTCGCGGACTGTAGCTTTCCGGGTATTGACATTGATACAGGGATGTAAATACATCATAGATGGTGACGGCTTCACTTACACCTTCGATCTTCTCTATTTACTCTTATATATTCCATTAAGCAGAATAACATTAGTGTTTTAATTATTTGGTTATTTTAGGATATATTTTCTTCAAATAGTAATTTATATTTTTTTTATTTCTGATAACTGTTTTGTGCATATATTCCACATTGTTTTTAATGTATGTGTCTGTGTTGTGCAGGCTGCTGGGCGCGGCCCGGCGGTGGCTGCGGCGGCCGCTGAGCTTGCGGGAGGCTGTTCTGTGGTCACTGGTGCCGGCAAGACACGGCTGCTGATCCCACACCATTACTACTACCGCCATACCATTACTTTATTCAGAATTCTATGATCATAAGATCATATTGTTAAAAAATAATCATTTAAATACAAATTATTAAAAAAATAATTTTTAATAATTTGTATTTAAAAATTGGCCAGTGTTCTATACAACAATTTGAAGTTAAAAATCCGACTCAAAGGACCAGAATGTTACCTCAGTAATTATTCCGGTAAATAATCATTTCCGGCTATGTTATAATTTTTTTTAACATTTGTATTTAAAAAAATGGCTATAGTGTTCTATATAATCATTTGGAACAAGTTAAAGTTCCGGCTCAAAGGACCAATGTAAATGAATGTAATGTACATTCTGGTAAATAATGCTGGTATTATTGCTGGTAAGTACCGGGATGACAGTAACTTCTTGACATGTTACTTTTCATGTAGGTAGTTCTTCGTAATAGAATTAATCTTCAAGTCAAATTCATTCCGTTCCGCCGCCAAGTCCATAAACAAACGGACAAGTACACTATGCTTGCGTGGCTCAAATTTAATTATGAAATTATGAAAAAATATGAAATAAAATAAAATAAAATATGAAAATTATGAAATTACTACACAAAACCCATCAAGATCTCAGTGGATCTTCATACGCAATAGTAAAATATGATATAATATCGTTGATATATTCTGAACGGTGAGTATATACTATAATTTAGAGTGATAAAGTTTATTGTTTAGATGTAATGTACTAATTAATTATTAATAACATATATTATGTAGTGTGTTTATTACTTTTATAAAGGTGTATTGAATTCGTTAAGCTTTCTTAGTTCGTTAGATGGTTTATATAAATATAAAATATGTTAAACATACAGTCGTTTTATTGCAATTTTACTTAATTCTTACCAGTTGAGATTATTCGCAGTTCTAATCATCTGAAGTAGCTGCATGAAGTGAATAGTTGGGGTCATGTAATTTTTTTTATCTTCGTAGGTATGTGGCAAATGTCTTGATTTTGACTCGGAATGAAATTGTTCAGTTTTAACCTGTCCGGTTCACGGAGTTTTTCACAAAGATAATGGGATGGTAACTACAGGCTGATAACGTTACAACGTAGGGGCAACCATGCATACTGTGTTCTACCAAATTGCCATAATCCATTTAAAATCAATACACATTTATTTAGTAAAAAAAATAAGAAGCATCTAGTACCATAAAATTCAAGTAGCATTCGTTAAATAAACGATTCCTAATCACCATGCATTATCAGAGAAATGTAGGCTTTAATCAGAGTGTAGGGGACTCTGATTTATATAAAACCAACTACCCGTCACGGCTACCCACCAGTATTAATCTCACCTGGATTCAAATCTATCGTATACTTATACGGGTATACAGATCAAGTACGGTAAGGTATCGCAGATCAAGTGATGATAATATTATGATTCTAGTGTAATAGGCATATGTAAAACCGTTTTAAAAAGCTTATTTTGGCGGCAGGTTAAAAATATAATTTAACAATTTATTATCCAACGAAAGGACCTTTATTATTTACCGGTAGATGATGGACCAATACGCATTATTGAAACTTTGTTTCGAAATTTACTTCAAACATTGAATAATACAATACCAAATATATGAAGACAATATTTATGAAATATTTTGATAACTTTTATTGTTAATAATGAATATACAACATTAACCTTTTTATATTGTACTCACTTTTATACTGTACTATCTATTTTGAATAGTTTTCGTACCGTTGGAGAACTTTGTTGAGATTCCACTGTCCCTGATGAATACAACCAGGGTTGCTGAGGTGATTTTTCTCTAGTATTTGATCCAGACATAATACGGTAATCGTAGCTTGTCGTAGAATTATCTCCACCATTGTTCGAAAAGCCACCAGTCATTTTATATGTATAAAGGTAATGATTCTTAACAATAAAACAAGTTAGTTTAGATTCAGCGCCATCTATTGGCACACATGCAAACTATTTTCTGAAACTAAAACTACCTGTGACCTAGCTAGCAATGTACCAAGTCTGGTTGACTTCCACGTCGTTCCTGGAAACCATCGTGACAAATTCATGGTAATTCGACCACGATTCTTATCATCCTCCACTGGTGTCCCGCCAGCGTAAACCGTTAGCGCAGGCGGGTGCACCATACGATTATCATCCCTTATAACCACCTACCACCAACAAAGGATTGCTAGTAATAAGGAACAGTAGGCCAATTGCTAATAATTTACAATGTCAAATCGACCTCCACGCGGTCCTCCCTGAAAACCATCGAGGTTAATTCCTAGTGAATTCGTCACGATGGGCTAACTGTCCTAACTTCCCATCCTATCAGCCTCCACTGATTTCCCACCAGCGTAAACGCTGGTGCATCTTTTCATTAACATCCATAAAAAAACTGTTAACGCAGGCGAGTGCACATTCCATTATCATCCATAATAACCACCTACCAAAGTCAATTTAAACTTTTAGCGGCTATGTTGGGGGCCGCTGTTATTTATAGCCCAAGAGCCCACGATGACCAGACATACGTCATTTTAGTAAACGTGAAAGTTCTTGTATGTGTGTCCCCAACACAGGTAAGAACGATCCCCAAACATGAAACCTGGCTCGTGGTTCCTTTGGCAGGTAACAGGTAACTAAGGTGTAAAAAATTTCATATCAAATTCGTTATTTTAAGAAACTCCATATTTTCATGTATTATTCGTGGCATTATTATAACTTGCTCTGCTCATTGCCAGACACTTAGTGTGATTGCAACCCCCCGCCGGACCCCCCTATACTATACTATTTTATAAATAAACTTACGTCATTTTAATAAAGCTGAACTTTATATAAATTATTGAGAGAACTATTAAACTGATTTTCCTAAATTGCCAGACAGTTTTCTTGGTTCCTTATCCTACCAGACTCATTGGAACTGTATATGATGTGTGTCTGGCCGTCGTGGGCTCTTGCTCTATTATGTTTGTGTTCTTTCTAGCAGCAGCAGAAAAGGTGGAGGTGAAGTGATGAGTCCAGATTGTGGCTAAGTACATTTAGCAGCTGGATTGTTATTGCTATGAATTATATTGTGTTTATCTGGTACGGGCACGACAGGTAGAGGAAGATGAAATAACCGAGTCCAGTGGTGGCTATGTACAAATGTATATTCTTGTGATATTTACAATAGTTGCATGGTTTAATTATCTTCTAAATATATATAACTCAAAGGTGACTGACGTAGTGATCTATCAACGTACAACCCAAACCACTGGACGGATCGCATTGAAATTTGGCATGCAGGTAGATGTTATGACGTAGGCATCCGCTAAGAAAGAATTTTGATTAATTCTACCCCCAAAGGGATAAATTAACGCGAGCGAAGCAACGGGCAAAAGCTAATAATGTATAAAACGTAGGTATATTCAATGTATGAGAAAAGAAGCCATTAGGATTAGGATTAGGCTTGTTATCATCAGTCCACTACGTCGCTAGGTAACGGTGTTGTCGCGCGATAACAATAAATTCGTCACAAACTTAACAAAGGTCATAAAAAAACAGCAGGTAGTGCGATCAATAATTTATTTGTCAGTCTTACTTACATTTCTAATCAACAATGTCACCTACAAAATATTCACAATTTGGTAAGTACGGCCGATCGGAGGTCGCATTCATTTATATATACAATTGCTCGATAACAATTATATATACAGTGCTACCAAATTATATACATTGCCTACAGCCTGCCTAGTTTTAGTTATATAGATAGATTCAGATAAATAGATGAAACTTTTCATTTGTATCTTAGTACACATAGGTATATTAGGATTATCCATAACAGAACATTGAACTATTTGGTAGCACCGCATATTATTCCAGTAAAATTTCAAATTAACCATAATGTGACCAGTTTTGGCGCAATATATAAAAATAATTCCGCAAATATCTAAAAGAATTTTTGATTTAAGTTAACGGTAAAGGGATGAAAAAATTAAAAAAAAGGGTTGAAAAACACTTTTCTCAAAATAACTCGATAACGGTAAGAAATATGAAAAATAGTTTTAAATAAAAGTTGTAGAGAATAAAAATCTGCACAAAACAGGTTCTCTTCATTATTTCATTATCTGCTGTTGTTTAGCCACAAAAATTTAAAACATGTTTAATTTAAAATTTTACTGTACTATATACTAAATAAAGCTTTTAAATAATTAAGCGTTACTTAACACGACTAGAACTAAAGATTCATTGTAAATAATATTGCAATTACGTATACCTACCTATATACTAATTGTTCGAAGTTAGGACTACGGAAATAACTTAGGACTTAGACAAATATGTGATCTATTTCTGACACTTTTAAATCTAAAATTCCTTATATCGTACTATTGAACCCATATATACACTAGCTGACCCGTGCAATTTTGTTTGCGTTTCATTGCCCCACCTTTTGCAATATTTTTCATTGCAGCTCCGCACTTATTGGTCGTAGCGTAATGTTATATAGCTTAAAGCCTTCGACAAATGGACTATCCAACACAAAAATAATTTTTCAATTCGAAATAGCAATTCCTGAGATTAGCGCGTTCAAACAAACAAACAAACGAACTCTTTAGCTTACAATATTAGTATAGATTACAAATAATAGAAACTTTGTTGTCAATTAATATCATAAAATTATAAAATAACAATAAAACTATACAAAATTATATGTTGGCAATGTGGGGGCCACATTGCCAACATATAGATATAATTTTGTACTCAGAACAAGAATAAAAATAATTAAAAACATTTTTTTTATATTTATATCGCTAATATGAACAAAATCATCATTTATTTGTGGTCGTCGTAATACGTTTGTCTCTTACATTCATCCCTGTTCGCAGTCATCTCGTTATTTACTCCCTTTTTGGCATATCATCTAATTGGGATATATTCATTGAGTAACGATGAAGTATTAATTAGGCAATCGTGATCTATACTGCCGACGTAAGGAATTTAAGATTAAAACTGTCAAAATATAACATTTTTGCTTTAAAGCGTATAACTACATATTTAACCTCAAAATTTTAGGTGAGTGCTTCAATAACCTAACTACTTACGGTCTTGGACCTCAGAGATCTTAAATATCTCTTAGACTATTTACAATTAAACATGAACGTTCTTATATATAGTAACTAAAGGCCCTATATTTTAATTATTGAAGTATTTTGTTCTCTTCTTTCAAATTAACAAATTAGTTTGAAAGAAGCTGTTCTTAGCTGAAATTTAAATAGTTATATATCGGATGACTTTTTAATTATAGAAAATAGGAGCACTACAAACTACAATTACAATAAATACTAAGCGATTTTAATTGTCTCCGAAAATACAGTAAAAAGTCGCACTCTCTAACGTTATGCCATTTTATAGACTTTTTACTCACATACTTTTTTGCGCACGTTAAAAAAGTCATCCGTATTTTTAATGATTTCATGACAGGATACGATCTAGCGTAGAAAAGCAATCAGATGTAGGTATGCTTCACTTTCTATTAAAATTTATTTTATAATCCACAGAATATATTTTCCAAAGACACGTTCAAGACTTATAGATTATGAATATACTCTATGATTATGTCTTTGCAAATTGCAAAATGGCGGACATTTGACTATAGAGTAAAAAGTCTGCCATTTTGCAATGACAATTAATTATTACAAAATGGCGCTAAAATACGCACGATTGAAAAAAGCGGGAATGCGTTCAATGGCGGCGCGCAATCTTCGTTTTCTTTGTCTACGTTTTCATGCACATTATTTCTTACGTGATTGACGCCGATTTGCGCGTAAAAACATACTTATAATGCAAATAAGAAGATTCGAGTACAACTGAATGTAAGTGACTGAGCTTCTAGATGTTTCCATTATGAACGTACGAGCGTGCTTGTAAAGATCTATGAAATATAGTGGTCCTACCAGAGAGTCATAAAATAGATGTACTTTTATGGGACGTACTTATGTACTAATATGAATTTATACCTAAATATATTTTGAAAAATTAAATACATCGAAATAATTATTAGTTTTTCATATAGCTATAGACTTATACTGTTAAATAAGTTAACAAATTGACTAATAAAATGAACAACAATTGAGTTTCTTAACAATTTTTAACTCATACTATCGCCTGAATTGGACGGTTGCATAAAAAATAATATATTAAATACATAAGTGGCTACAATAGTATATAAATTAATTTGAGTAGAGTCTTATGTACCTAATAGTAATAAAATAATTAACAATACGATGTCACTAAGTTCACCTACCCTACGTGGAGTAAACTACTGCCTAGTGTCTGCAGTGTCTTTTATTTTTGTAAAATAACATTTGTGCAGAAAATTTATGTATACATTTTAAAGACTTTCAAAAGCATAAAATATCAACAAATTTTCATAAAATTTATTAGAGCCGTTATAGAGAGAATATATCTTTTTTTATGTAATTTATAGAGTGCTAAGAAGTTCGACTTATTTATATTATACTTTAACAACAAACTAAATATGTTATAATACTGTAGAAAATCCACATTGGCAAATATAAAGACAATTTTTTTTTAATATATGACTGAACCAAGGAAGCTAAAATAAATAAATTGTAGTATATTTATTTATTTTAGCTTCCTTGGTTCAGTCATATATTAAAAAAAAAAATTTTTTTGTCTTTATATTTGCCCTATATATATTTTATATTTTATTTTGTCTATAAACAGTCATAAAAAAAGAAATTATTCAATAGCATCCGAAATAAATGGAACCAATAGCAACAATACAGTCATCCTAATTGCACTAATACGTCGACTATCCGTCGCGAAAGACAATCCTAGGTCATTCAGAAAGAGATGCCATTATAGGAAATCGCAGTAGATAAAGCAAGATGCCAACATATGCGAAACATCGCGCGTACTTAAATTTTTAAGGTCCTGAGGGCACGTTGCACCTTTTATTTCAATTTTTGTTAATGATGAAATGGTTTTCCTGACAGCTCTTAAGTTATACTCCAGCGAGGCACTATCGAAGGAAAATAAGATGAGCAAAAAATCAGGGAACCTTTGTTGAAATTTTGACGGTACTCTTATAATATTGTAGCATACTTTCTACACGTGTTTTTAGTCCTTGCAACTTCATTAGCATAGCTATTTGCAATAGCTTTACCGCGACAGTCCCCGAGTGCCACTTTTTTTTTAATCCACTCTCTACTTGGACGAGGCTCTGATAATGTAATCGCTCTATATATTATTGTCATATGTTACATTTCCACACCGATGGAGTCACGATGGCAGGATTACAATTATTACGTTAATATACCTTCACGGCCTCGGTGGTCTAGCGGTTTAGTACACCGTTTCAACTCCGATGATCGCAGGTTCAATTACTCGCACGGTACAAACATTTGCATGCATATGATTGTTTGTATTGATCTGGGTGTTTTCTATGTATTTACATAAAACATATCTAAGTGTATCTATCTGTTGTCTAATATCAATAAGACTAGCTGTACTTAACCTGGGACTAGATGGCGCTGTGTGAATTGTCCAGGGATATTATAATTATTATTATTTTACACCACGATTAAATTGGAACTTTGTGCTCTTAAACTTAAGTCTCGCCTTTGCCTGTACACACAGTTCATATTTAAAACTAATGGCGCGTCCCGGCTTCGCCCGGATTCTCACCTATAATATTACCCGCGACATCAATTTTTATTAAATCGAAGAGAGAAACATGGAGTCATTTAGGCGTGAACAGGTACCAAATAGTCATACCGACTTTTGCAGTAATAATATTATTAGAGATAGAAATACTTTATTTATTCGAAATAATAATATTACTTATTATTATTATTATTATTCGAAATAAAGATTTTCTTCTGACCTATCAGAAGGTCATGGTCCTCGCCTTAGCTGGCTAGTAGCAGAAGTATGTTAGTAGTAGGTTATACTCTACATGCACTACCAAATAGAACTATAAGTTAACCTATTGCACAGATCAAATGGTATGAGATCATTTAAACCTTTTATTATAAAACTTAATATCCTTTAAAATGAAATTAAATGTAATATATAAAAGTAGATTCTCGTGATAATTTCGTCGATATACTTATATATGAAGCATCGAATATGACTTTGTTAGTTTTTTAATACCACTATGAGCCTGAGGTCCTGGGCGATTGGGTGAAGCGAAGGCTTGTTGAAGAATTGGAAGTAGGGTGTGGAAGTGGGGAATGGGGAGTGGGGAGTGAGGAACCGGGAGGGGGGAACGGGGTGCGGGAGTGGGAGTGGTTATGGGGGGGAGCAGGGAGTGGAGTGATGGGGGGGAGCAGGGAGTGGAGTGATGGGGGGGAGCAGGGAGTGGAGTGATGGGGGGTAGCAGGGAGTGGAGTGATGGGGGGGAGCAGGGAGTGGAGTGATGGGGGGGAGCAGGGAGTGGAGTGATGGGGGGTAGCAGGGAGTGGAGTGATGGGGGGGAGCAGGGAGTGGAGTGATGGGGGGGAGCAGGGAGTGGAGTGATGGGGGGAGCAGGGAGTGGAGTGATGGGGGGAGCAGAGAGTGGAGTGAAGTGCCAGTTCAAATCATGCCAAACCCCTCGCCGCCCTCGTTGATGGCCCACAGCAGCGCGTGTACGAGCTGCTCGTAGGAGTCGTAGTCGGGCAGGCACAGCTGGTTGAAGCACGTGTGCGCTGTCGGCAACGCACCAAACGTCGGGGCCGCCGTGATCTGGAAGCGCGGGTTCAACTCCTGGAAATGGTAAACGGGTTTTTTTAATAATGGATGAAAATATAGTTTGGATTGTGGAATGAAGTACCTGTCAAGGTGTTTTCGAGAGACTACAGCATGAGGTTTTATCAAAAACAGTATATACTTACCATCAGATGGGTCGTGTGTTCGTTGGAATGTTGTACTCGTCTATAATTCTTCCTGAATACAAAAGTTTATATCGTGCGAAGAATCGAACCCGCGACCATCGGAAGCGAAGCAGTGTGCGAATCGAGTGGGTCCAGCGCGGCTCAGAACCGGGGGAGCGAGGTACCGGACGCACCTGGAACCCCCCGGGCGGCAGCTGGCTGCAGCCGGTGGTGAACTGCAGCAGGCGCGCGCGCTCGGGCGGCGTGAAGGCGGCCAGCGCGGCCCAGAACCAGGGGAGCGAGGTACCGGACGCACCTGGAACCCCCCGGGCGGCAGCTGGCTGCAGCCGGTGGTGAACTGCAGCAGGCGCGCGCGCTCGGGCGGCGTGAAGGCGGCCAGCGCGGCCCAGAACCAGGGGAGCGAGGTACCGGACGCACCTGGAACCCCCCGGGCGGCAGCTGGCTGCAGCCGGTGGTGAACTGCAGCAGGCGCGCGCGCTCGGGCGGCGTGAAGGCGGCCAGCGCGGCCCAGAACCAGGGGAGCGAGGTACCGGACGCACCTGGACGCTGCACCGGTGGTGAACCAGCAGGCGCGCGCGCTCGGGCGGCGTGAAGGCGGCCAGCGCGGCCCAGAACCAGGGGAGCGAGGTACCGGACGCACCTGCCCCCGGGCGGCAGCCTGCAGCCGGTGGTGAACTGCAGCAGGCGCGCGCGCTCGGGCGGCGTGAAGGCGGCCAGCGCGGCCCAGAACCAGGGGAGCGAGGTACCGGACGCACCTGGAACCCCCCGGGCGGCAGCTGGCTGCAGCCGGTGGTGAACTGCAGCAGGCGCGCGCGCTCGGGCGGCGTGAAGGCGGCCAGCGCGGCCCAGAACCAGGGGAGCGAGGTACCGGACGCACCTGGAACCCCCCGGGCGGCAGCTGGCTGCAGCCGGTGGTGAACTGCAGCAGGCGCGCGCGCTCGGGCGGCGTGAAGGCGGCCAGCGCGGCCCAGAACCAGGGGAGCGAGGTACCGGACGCGGGCGGCGTGAGGCCAGCGCGGCCCAGAACCAGGGGCGCGCGCTCGGGCGGCGTGAGCGAGGTACCGGACGCACCTGGCTCCCCCGGGCGGCAGCTGGCTGCAGCCGGTGGTGAACTGCAGCAGGCGCGCGCGCTCGGGCGGCGTGAAGGCGGCCAGCGCGGCCCAGAACCAGGGGAGCGAGGTACCGGACGCACCTGGAACCCCCCGGGCGGCAGCTGGCTGCAGCCGGTGGTGAACTGCAGCAGGCGCGCGCGCTCGGGCGGCGTGAAGGCGGCCAGCGCGGCCCAGAACCAGGCCAGCAGGCGCGCCCAGCCGCGGCCGCCGCCGGCCACGAGCGCGTGGCGCCGCCAGTCGGCCACGCCCAGCTCGCCCGAGCCGCACGCCAGCAGCTCCAGCTCGGTCTCGGAGAAGGCGGCCAGCAGCCGCGGCGGCACCAGCGCGGCCAGCCCGCGCGCGAACGCCGCCGTCTCCGCCCGCACGCGCGCCGCCAGCCGCCACTGCGCCAGCGCGTCCAGGTACGACAGCTTCGTCGCGTTGCTCACCTGCCGGCCGGACCTTCTATTTTAGTAGAAACCTCGATGAACTACACCGGATCCGTCGCGTCCGCACACGACACCGTCCTCGTCGGCGAGGACGACGACCTCGACCGTACGATCGTCGCTCCACGCCGGTGCCCCCGGTCGCCCCTCCGATCGATCCCCCGTCCGATTCGAACGGATATCAAAATTACGACGGCCTGAACCGAAGTTCGAACCCCTAGCGATGCCCTCAGACTAAAATCGTATCCGTAAAGCAGAAACTGATCTTCAGCCACTTAAGTCCTTCCGCGGATTTGGAGTACCATCTACACTATAATAGTCTAGCCAACATTAGAATAATCCGAAAAAAAATCAGCGACTCGTAACGTATAAAATTCCACAAAACTAATGTAATACAATATATTCACAACACCTAGTGATAAGATAAAGTATATACCCTGATAAAGACCACGTCAATACAAATAAAATCTTTCCTTAAATTACTAAATTTACTAAGACTTATATATACATTGCGTCTAACTCAATTTATATACAAGCCCTAGTGATAAGTAAGCGCATACCCTGATAGAGGCCCCGTCAGGAACTAGATGGTGCGTAGCCACCAGACGACCCGCATCGTCATACTCCTCCTCTGCAAAGTAGAGCTCGGCGCCCGCATCCGCCGCGTCCAGGTCCGTCTCCAGCACGTACTTGATCTTTGTCAGGTACAGCTCCGGGTCGTCCTGCTCGAAATACTGTAACAAATGTTATAGTTAATAACCTACATACGCCACTAAATAAATAATAGCTTTATTATGTATAAGCGTGTGTAGAGTGTAGCGTGTAGTGTAGTGTAGCGCGCGTACCTTGTAGTGCACCCGCAGGCCGATGAGCTGCGCGAGGAAGGAGCGCGTGAGTCGCGCGCGCACCAGCTGCCGGTAGCTGCCGCCCAGGGCGCTCTCGTACAGGCACTTGCCCACCAGCTTGCCCGCCAGCTCGAAGTACTTCAGCTGCCCGCACACCATTCAAAATTAGTCTCTATCGTATTAGCTTCGCTACGTGTATTTATTGAAGCTAACACGATATCTAAATAGATAGTCTTCAGTCTTTTTTTCAGACACACGTCGTACGCAGTGTCAAGTCAGGACATTTCCTGGAAAGGTGTACTTAGCAAGCTTTTCTAAGTATAATAAATTGAAAAAATATCCTTAAGAAACTCTAATAACTCCAAAAAAACCCAAAAAACCAGTAATAGTACCTTGAGATGCGGCGGCCGGTGCGGATTGGGGTGCACGAGACCGGTGGGCGAGTCGTGGAAGGACACGAATAGACCGAATTGAGAGTCGAACAGCTGACCGCAAACCAGCGAGAACCACTCCCGCCGTACTCCGCCCCAGTCCACGCCTAGAAGGGGGGAAAAGGTACAATAAAAAAATACAATAACAATCCTGGACAATACACAACGATATCAAGTCCTAAGCCAAGCAGAGCTTGCGTTACGGGTACTAGACAACTGACATAAATATTTAGATACATTTTACAAAGTGGGTGAATGTTGGGGCTTGGGGAAATGCCTTTGCCCGGCGTCAACTCCTGAGGCATGTTACATTTACCTCTATGCGGTTCACTCTTGAAACCATCATAATAAAATCCTGGTGTATTTGCCATGATGAACTAATACAGAGACCTGGCCTCATACTCACCCTATCAACTTTCACAGGTAACCCGCCAGCGTATACCGTTACACCAATCCGTTATCATCCATTAAAAAAACTTATAGTAACAAAGCTTATAGTTTATTATAATAAATACATTTATTATAGAAGAATACACAAGAGAATGCAGTACAGACAAAAATATAGAACAGACCCTGCTCGCCCTGGAAGGTGACGTCGAAGTTCTTGCACCAATCGGCGAGCGAGAAGTGCTTGGTGGCCTTGAGGCTGGACCGCAGCAGATCGGCGCGGTCAACCCGCAACTGTATCTTGTCGTGCGGGTGACGAGCATGCACCTTCCGCACCTCGCTGTAGAAGAACTCCTGCTTGTTCTGCAACGAACATTTCACATTAATCTTACTTTATACGATAAAAATTTGTGCAATAATTTGCTTAAAAATAAAGAAGTAACCCACACGCATCGTGTACATAATGACCCACATGGAGTTGGTAGATCCATCGGGCAATTAGCTTGGAACTAGATGGCGCCGTGTGAATTGTCCTGACATATCGTTATAAGAAAAATGTAAAGACCTTGGAGGTGTCCTACCCGCCGCAGTTGGCCACCAGCAGCTGCGTGTAGGTGGCTGCGATGAGGTCCCTGTCGGGGGAGTGTACCGACCTTGAAGGTGTCCTCCCCGCCGCAGTTGGCCACCAGCAGCTGCGTGTAGGTGGCTGCGATGAGGTCCCTGTCGGGGGAGTGTACCGACCTTGAAGGTGTCCTCCCCGCCGCAGTTGGCCACCAGCAGCTGCGTGTAGGTGGCTGCGATGAGGTCCCTGTCGGGGGAGTGTACCGACCTTGAAGGTGTCCTCCCCGCCGCAGTTGGCCACCAGCAGCTGCGTGTAGGTGGCTGCGATGAGGTCCCTGTCGGGGGAGTGTACCGACCTTGAAGGTGTCCTCCCCGCCGCAGTTGGCCACCAGCAGCTGCGTGTAGGTGGCTGCGATGAGGTCCCTGTCGGGGGAGTGTACCGACCTTGAAGGTGTCCTCCCCGCCGCAGTTGGCCACCAGCAGCTGCGTGTAGGTGGCTGCGATGAGGTCCCTGTCGGGGGAGTGTACCGACCTTGAAGGTGTCCTCCCCGCCGCAGTTGGCCACCAGCAGCTGCGTGTAGGTGGCTGCGATGAGGTCCCTGTCGGGGGAGGCCAGCGCTAGCGGCGGCTGTGCGCCGTCGTCGACTGAGAACTGTCCGCCAGGACCTCCACCGGCGGGCGTGGGCGCCAGGATTAACTGCCGACACATGCACACCATATTGGTTCGCAACAGAAAGCTGGATGGCCAGCGAGCCAACATCCATAACATTATGACTAATTTCATCCCGATTGTAAATGGGCCATGGGCCACAGCAATGCAAAAATGACTCATAGCTCACTGTGAAAAAGCACAACACTGATTTTGAACCATGACCGAGAGGTGAAAGTGCCAACATTCAGATTTTTTTGTATTGAATAGAGATGCAATTCCTACCTTAGTGCTGGGACAGAGTCTAAATGACGTGATCCTCTTGGGTATGAACTTGAGTATGTAGTCCTTGACGATGAACTGCTTAGGGCTAATGCAGCAAAGCACCCTGCGCGGCTTTGCGCCACCTAGTAGCCGCGCCTCGTAGCAGATGTTGTGTCGCCGAGACGATATGTTCTGCTGTACTGTCGCCGTGTCGCTGGCTAACATACACACACCAATCTATACTATTCATCCATCATTATCCTTAATAACGAGCATTCTCATTATCATCCATAACCAATCTATACTATTCATCCGCTATTATATTTAATAACAAGCATTCTCATTGTCATCCTTTATAGAGACTGCGAAGTATGTCATCATAACCTTACTAATAATATAAATGCAAAATCGATTTTGGTTTGGCATACTTCCGATGGTCGCGGTTTCGACTCCTCGCACGGTGCAAACATTTGTACTCATAGTAATTTCATTGCCTAATCTGCACCTTTCAAATACAGTTTATATTGGCTTGGCAGCTGAAATAGGTGACATTATGGTACCCACACTGACTGAAGACTTTTTAAACTTTTCACATTATTAAGTTCTGTTGCGTCGTCCGATCGGGGCGTAGCAAAGAATAAAGGCCAAGCACTCTGCCACATGTCTGAACATTTTAGTGAGAATGTTAATGAAATGTGTGGTAAGAGTGACCTGTGAGCACGATGCAGTCGAATTCCCCGTTGAGCAGCATGACGCTGTCGTAGAAGACGGCGGCGCGGTAGATGCCGGCGCGAGGGAACGTGAGCGACACCACCACGCGCTGGTTGACCGCGTCGTACGCGAACGACGCCAGCGACGACAGCGCCTCGTCCTCCTCGCCGCCCACCGGCTGCACCTTCATTGAGAAGCCCTGCCGACACGGAAAAATCGATCGCTGTGGCAAATAGGCGCACGGACTCGGTATCGATATCGAGTGCTTTACTTTCCATAATAGTGCCTCGTCCACCTCGCCGTTCATCGGCTGCACCTTCATTAAGAATCTCTGCCGACACGAATACATCGATCGCTGCTATTACTACGAACACGGACTCAATATCGATATCGCGCGATTTACATTACACCCGTGTGTGGAATGTAAATCGCTTCTTTATCGAGAAGCCCTGCCGAAACACGGGTCAATCGCTGCTATCGCTTCGTATGCTGTGACCGTACTCATATGCGTAGCTGCGACCAACAGCATCCGAAAAAAAACAAGACCTCATAGAAGAATTCGACAACAAGAATTTCAACACCGTGTATCCAAAGCTAGAAGGAAGTATAGCAGAGAGCAAGGGGCGCACCTGTTGTTGGTCGTCGTCGAGCAACGGCGCGGGGTTGTCGTACACGTCGCGAGGCTGCACGTGCAGCGCACGTGCGTGCTGCGCCGCGAACACCAACGCCGCCGGCGGGCGAGCCACGCGGGACGTGCGCGCGCACACCCGCCCCGCCACGAACGTGCGGCGGAACGGACCGCCGCCCGCCGCCGCGCCGCCTGCACGCACGCCACACTGCACTACACTCCGCCACACGCACGCTGCACTACACTCCGCCGCTCACACGCTACTCACACACGCTACTCACACCCGCCCCGCCACGAACGTGCGGCGGAACGGACCGCCGCCCGCCGCCGCGCCGCCTGCACGCACGCCACACTGCACTACACTCCGCCACTCGCACGCTGCACTACACTCCGCCGCTCACACGCTACTCACACCCGCCCCGCCACGAACGTGCGGCGGAACGGACCGCCGCCCGCCGCCGCGCCGCCTGCACGCACGCCACACTGCACTACACTCCGCCACTCGCACGCTGCACTACACTCCGCCGCTCACACGCTACTCACACCCGCCCCGCCACGAACGTGCGGCGGAACGGACCGCCGCCCGCCGCCGCGCCGCGCCGCCTGCACGCACGCCACACTGCACTACACTCCGCCACTCGCACGCTGCACTACACTCCGCCGCTCACACGCTACTCACACCCGCCCCGCCACGAACGTGCGGCGGAACGGACCGCCGCCCGCCGCCGCGCCGCCTGCGCGCACGCCACACTGCACTACACTCCGCCACTCGCACGCTGCACTACACTCCGCCGCTCACACGCTACTCACACCCGCCCCGCCACGAACGTGCGGCGGAACGGACCGCCGCCCGCCGCCGCGCCGCCTGCGCGCACGCCACACTGCACTACACTCCGCCACTCGCACGCTGCACTACACTCCGCCGCTCACACGCTACTCACACCCGCCCCGCCACGAACGTACGCCACACTGCACTACACTTCGCCATTCGCACACTACACTACACTTCAGCACTCGCACGCTTCACTCCACGCCGCACTATACGGCGGAATATAATGCAATACCAACACTCGCACGCTACCACCACGCGTTACGGATTGTCGCCTACATGTATACTACACACACCCAGATAACCACTGATACTACTATAATATACACTATGGATAATACTCTCCCGCTTGGAAGGGAAGGAATTCACATTGAAGAAAAAGGGCATCTGTTCGACTAGAATGCATACGGTGATTCCAGCTCTAACTTCGCCTATGTGTCCAAAAATTTTGTATATGACACAATAATATTGTATATCCTGTCATTTTGGATCAATGTATCGTTCAAACAGCGATATAATTTGAAATTGATGCAGTGGTTCTGGACTTTATTTTCCACATAACAATATCAATTCTCACTCTCTCTTTATATCTAATTACAGTATACAACAACTTGCAGAACAACTCACCGATAGTAACGGAAATGATGTATACACCGGCGATACGAACTGTGAACTTCGCACGCGCTGTGTTTGCTTGCGCCGGGTCTCCGGACCCCAGCTCCATCACTGCTGTTACCTTATCAAATAAAAATGATTACTTGAAATATTATTACACAAATTACAGGGTACGGGTTTCGTAGGATATAAGGCAGGGAAATTACAGAATACAGGAAGCAAGAAATATTAGTCCTGTAGAACAGCAACGCATGAGTGGTATGATAACGTGATGACAGTAGTTCTCGCCTAACATCAGGTAGACCATTACCTTGTTTGCTGTCCTAATTACATAAAAAACCTAGTTCTTGCCCAATTACTAATAGTAAGAATTGCCATGAGAATATCTGTTATCTTACCTTCCTGGAGCCAACTGATATCGAGACGGCCAGATCATCAGTGTCACAGATGGGATATGGTTGTCCGTTGCGTTGAAAACACAGAACGGTGAAGCACATTGTTTCTCCAACCTGATATGGTTCTTCCCATCCCCACTCCACCTGAATACCATAATTAGACTAATTAAGAAGGAATTCAAACCACTTTCAATACAAAATATATAGCGACCATAGCATAGCCACCCCTGTGTCCCCTATTTGGTGCCTCATTTAATAAACTGTTTCGAGTTTTCGGCTATAAGTCAATCTATAATAAAATTTGTCCACGTGTACACATTTTAATAATATTTGCTAAATAAAGGTTAGTTGTGATTGTTTCCCAAAAACAAGAACATTGTAACTATATGCTGTCTTCTTATACTCAACACTTAGCTGTATATCCTACAGTCAGTTCAAATGCGTTCTGTTGTTCGATCACAAATGTTACTTTCACTGATAAAGCTATAAAACGACGAGAAAACCAAGGGCGAGCGTATCTCTAGATATTTCTTCCAGCAACTCCAGAGAATGTTATAGGATAATGTGTTCACTAGACCAGCTATAAAAAAGGAAACACTGATATATTGTCGTATATATAACAGTAAGTTAAAAGTATGAAAATGAATAGACACACAAATATATGAATATATATAGGTACTGACCTTACAACTGGGCGGATGTAAATATTTCCCGGTGACATACTGCAGAAGCGAGTGTTTTGCTTCCGGCGCAAGCGACGGCTGCGTCATGGCCGCCAGTGTCACCAGACCACATACAGATACCGACACCACCAGCATGCCCCCTATGTGTTACGACCACGACCACACCATGCATTACATTGTCTCTCAACCTTATGAGCCCTTAATACTCGTTTATTCTCAGTTCATCTAAACTGAGAATAACAATTGTTTAAAAGGAATGAATAATAATAATAAGAATATATCAAGACAATTCACAGCATCTAGTCCCAAGCTAAGCAGAGCTTGTGTTATGGATAGTAGACATCTTATATAAATACATAATATATGTAGAAAACACCCAGAACGATACAAATAATCACACTCACGAATTTAAATATTTGTACCATGCAAGGAATCGAACCCGCGACAATCGGAAGTAAGGCCGCTAAACTACAGAGGCCGTCAAATTAACGAAATGTAGAAATGAACTGAAATGAAATGAACGAAAGAAGGTAGATATACCAATTGAATTTCTTTCCAGTTATTCTCAACCGAGCAGCTACGAGTAGCTGACATGGATGGTAACTTTAAAGATATTAAATAACTTGATAGACATAAATAACTAAAAAATAGTAAATGCTTTTGATATTGACTTGAAAAGGTTGGGAAACAATGCTGTTGTATGTATATTTGAAAACTCTACAACGGGCCATACATAAATTACGTCAAAACAATTTTAGCCATTATTAAACCACCCATATTACAGACGGTTGTATCTTAATAGTTAAAATTTCGTGTCTTAATACTAAACTGAAATTTGATGTCACAGAATATATTTCATGATTACACGAACTTTGTGACGTCTGCATTACGTTACAGCAATTTTTAAATCCTCTCTATCATATTACATTGCTGGTCACATTTTAATAGTTAATATTTCGTGTCTTAATACTAAATTGAAATGTGATGTCACAGAATAAATTTCATGATTACACGAACTTTGTGACGCCTGCAATCCTTTGTCACACTTTATCTATTCCCCTCGACTCGTAATGTTTAAAGTAATGTATGGATTGCCCCTTTACTGTGTGCGCTGTAGTACGGTGCGAGTGACAGTTACTAATTTTACATTTAACAATTGCTACATTTAAGTTAATACAGTTATTCATGATTAGCTGTGCCCGCGACTCCGTTCGCATGGGGTTTGAACCGTTTACGCAGCGCACGCAACGGAAGCCCTCAAATATGAATAATTTTCCTCGTTTTTGCGAGATTTTTTACTGATGCTTCGCTTCTATTAGTCGTAGCGTAATGTTATATCCTCGACAAATGGACTATGTATCACAAAAAGAATTTTCCAATTCGAACTAGTAGTTCCTGAGTTAACGCGTTCAAACAAATGAACAAACAAACTCTTCAGCTTTATATTAGTACAGATTTAATATATTACGAATGTGGTACAGCTGAAATACTAAGTCATAATTTGTAAATCGCGGCAACTTTTATGAGTGAGACGAAACGTTAATGAAACTGTCACCCACACCATCCTACAGCTCACATGGTATAAGTAGATATGTAATGAATGGTTGGCCCCGTCCATATGTAAATATTATTATTTGTTTTCGAAATACAAAACAAAACTATTATCGCAGACGCAAATTAGTATTAATTAGTACTTTCAATGTTAATGAACGGAAGGCTATTGAGCGAGTTAGACACCTATAATGGGTTATTAGTACAAATGTACGACTTACCCCACGTCCACGCATCCTGGTGCTTGCTGGTTTTGACCACGGTACTCCAGAGATCATATTTCAGGATCTGCAGAGCCTCCTTCCCTGTGGGGAGGCTTTGTCGCGCCGCCGACCATGCGCCGAAATCCTTAGGGTCCAGCACATGCTGGGCAGTCGAGTCTTCGAGCCAGTACACGTCCTCGAGGGACGACACGTCCAGGCTGAGGAGTCTAAAAAAATACACAATTTACCTTCACTCTGTTCGCCTTGATGTCCATTTCTTGCCAGTTCTTGGTCAAAACTACTTCAAGAAATGACGTTAGATTTGACTCATCCTAGTGTTTGAAATTAGACCTACATGAATGAGGATAATTTGATTTTATTTGCTGTGCTATTTAGATTTCTTCCAGTAAACCTAGAAAATTATATAGGATAGTGTGTTAACTAGTTATTAACATTGTTTTAAGATATTGCTTTTCTCGTTAAATTTGTTATCGAAATCTTAGATTGCATTTAAATAGGCCGGTGCGAAAAGGTTATACTGATGTAGAGTCTATTTCCGAATTGCCCCCCCCTGTGGGGCATGGCCTCACGTGGGAAATCTTTTGACAGGTTTGAGAATGAGGCTTTGAAAATGTTTAAATATTGCAAGATTCTATTTTCAGAAATAGAAATAATCTTTATTCAAATAAACTCCTTGCAAGCACTTTTGAATAGTCATATTTTGATTCTACCACTCATTCGGAATGCAGATTCATCACAAGAAGAATGAGGAAGATACTTGTGTGTTGCTCTTTTGAATAAATGTTTTTATTTTATATAATAATTACAGTATAACAAGTAAGAGGCATGCGGTAATCAACATAGAAGTTGCTACGCACTCATTATTAGTGTAATCAGATAATATTGTCAGTGCTATGGATTTTAAGTTTTTCTATAAAAACATTATTGTCGTTAACGAATTCTTCAATTTTCTAGTAAGCTGTTTTGCAAAGGAAGTATTTTATATGACATTTAAATCTTTTTTCAGGCAGATTTATAACATACTCTGGTAATTTGTTGTAAAACCTTACGCAATTGCCATAAAACGAATTACTAACTTTAATTAAACGACATTTAGGTAAAATTAGTTTGTTATTGTTGCGTAAGCTTTTATTAGTGTAGTCACTAACTCTTTTGAAATTGTCTATATTCTTCCTGGGATACATGATATTTTCATAAATGTATTGAGAAGCAACGCTGAAGATATTTGATTCCTTAAAGCACTCTCGTAAAGACTCCCTGGAACCCACACCATAAATGGAGCGAATGGCCCTCTTTTGTAAAGTAAATATTGTATTTATATCAGCTGCTTTGCCCCATAACAAAATACCATACGACATAATGCTATGGAAATAGCTAAAATAGACAAGTTTAGCCGTTGCCACGTCTGTTACTTGTCTAATTTTTCTTACCGCATAAGCGGCAGAACTAAGTCGACTCGCCAATTTAGTAATATGGGCGCCCCATTGCAACTTGGAATCTAATGTGATACCTAGAAATACAGTATCGTCAACAAAACTAATAGGTTTATTGTCCAATACGATTTTTAATTCTATCTGCCTTACATTGGGGAGCGTAAATTTGATACATTTAGTTTTATTTGCATATTAGTAGCATATTATTAGCAGTAAACCATTTCAAAATATAAGAGAGAGCGCCGTTTACTTCGTCCATATCATTAATATGTCGATAGACTTTGAATACTAATGAAGTATCATCAGCAAACAGAGCTATGTCAGCTATAAAAGTCATTGAATTTATTTTTGACGAAAAAAATAGTAGAATGAAACCCAAACCCAAAGAATATATATAATTATACTAGCAGACCCTGCCACGCGTTGCACTGGCTAAGGTCCTTGTATAAAATAATATTGCGACTATAAATTGACATGTAAGCTATCCTATCTTTCAAATTGGATCAAATAGCACAATCAAATCCAATCAAATTTGCAATAGGTTCAGTTCAGTTCTGTTTAGGAGTCCATCGCGGTCAAACAACGTGACACGTAATCATTATCATTACATAGTACAAAACAAAGTCGCTGTCGCTGTCTGTCCATCCCTATGTTTGCTTATCCTTATCTTTAAAACTACGTAACGATTTTGAACTGGCTTTTTTTAATAAATAGTGTTTCAATGGGTAAGATTTATATATATAATACGTGTACACCCGTGCGAAGCCGGGGTGAGTAGCTAGTCTTTATATATAAAGATAGAACTATTTCTACTATCTTCTATTTTATCTTTGTCTGTTCAAATAGAAAAGTATGCTAGTGTCATGGTATAACTAAGTGCTCTCGTAAAGAAGATAGATGGCTCTTCGCAGGCCAGTAGAGTAACTGTCTATGTAAGTGTTCTCATCAATTAACACGTTAGGAAAATGTTTGCGATAAACCACTACACATATAAATAATCATTTTTCTAATAAACTTAATATAAATACTTTTGAATAGTCATATTTTTTATTCTGATTACATCTTACATAATAAGTTTAGCAAGTCAAAGGTACTAATGCAGACCTTTTTTACAAAGTTTATCACGATAAATACGATTTGGGGGGAGGGGGGGAGGCGAGGATTGTTGGTACTGAGGACAAGTAACTCTATTGCTAGTAATCTACCAGGTTAGGTCGACCTTCACACGGATCTCTCTGGAAACCATTGTAGTTCCTGGTAATTTAATCATAATAGACAAACTAACCTAACCTCATATTCATCAATTTAAATCCAAAAATCATTTATTCATGTAGGACATTTTAGCCGCTTATGAACGTCAAGTTTTACATTATAATTTTATTTAATAAAATTCCCTACCGTCAATTCGGTATATAGATCCAATTGAGAAGAACTGGCAAGAAACTCAATTGAATTACTTTTTTTTAAAAGCCAGTTTATTTACAATGTATAGGTATTTATATAGGTGTCTGTCTAACATTAAATGAAAATCCCGTGCATGAACAACTATTGCCATGCACGCTCGTCATTCAAGTAATCGTTTAGTGAGTAATAGGCTTTGCTTAGTAAATATGATTTAACCGATATTTTAAATTTATTTAAGGGTAATTCTAATATATCTTATCATCCTCCACTGGTGCCCCGCTAGGGTTTACAGGGTCTAGCGCAGGCGGGTGCACGGTCCATTATAATTTAATAAAAAAGCAAATATGGCCCAATTATACAATATATTTGGGCCAGGTTCAGGTTTTATTGCACCCCTGCGAATAAGACAACCCTGTATAAAATGATTATTACCAATATTAACCCTCACACAAATCACTCGACATGACGTGCGGATTTCTTACGTTATTTAATCGACCCGTTGAGGGTTGTCCCAACGGTATTACTATTACAATCTTACAAGTACTATTATTAATTCCAGTCAGTAAAATGACAAGTGCAACTGTCACTGATACAAAAAAGGGTGACCCGCTACAATAGTGAAGTTCGGCAATCAATAGACTTAGACATTTAGTCACGCTTTATTTTATTAGGTATCGATGATTTTTTTTTTATTTTAAGTATTTAATACATACAATACGGTATGTATTAAATATACCGTCCCTATATACATAAATCTTTAAAACTACGCAACGGATTTTGAAACGTTTTTTTTAATAGATAGAGTTATTCAAAGGGAAGGTTTATATATATATAACGCATGTACACACGTGCGAAGCCGGGGTGAGTGGCTAGTAGATTATAATTTAAAAAGATGTTATTTAAATTGGGCGAAATATAATAATAAATGTCAAGTTTGTGTGATACAGACGAAGTTACGCGGCTCAACTAGTATCCAATAATATTTAGACGCCATACATTTCTTTGTATTTGTTTATTTACATTGAAAAAAAAAGTTTACATCTAAAGCCTAAAAATATTTGACGACCCTTGTGGTCTCCATAGACCACAAGGGTCAATAATATCAACTAGCTACTCACCCCGGTTTCGTCCGTACATGTATTATACATATAAACCTTCCTCTTAAATTACTCTGTCTATTAAAAAAAACGCTTCAAAATCCGTTGCGTAGTTTTAAAGATTTAAGCATAGATAGGGACGGTCAGACAGCGACAGCGACTTTGTTTTATACTATGTAATGATAATGATAAAGTATCCTGTTTGTGTGAACCCTATCGAAGGGCGCTAATGAAACGCGTGTGGGGCGGAAGGTTGATAAACGACCGCCAAAGTATACCATCGATAGGCTGCTATAACCGACGCGGGGTTAATGGGCCGGGATTGTCCGTTAGTACAAACATAATCATATTACTGAAAAAATAATAACATTCTAGTGCTCTTAAAAACGTTTCGCTGCTTATCCATACTGATTATTATTTATTAAACTCTTTATTGCACCCAAGGGCGGATCCAGCTTTGGCGCCAGGAGGGGGTCACATAGGCGTGGTCATGGCGCCAGGAGGGGGTCACATAGGCGTGGTCATGGCGCCAGGAAGGGGTCACGTAGTCGTGGTCATGGCGCCAGGAGGGGGTCACATAGGCGTGGTCATGGCGCCAGGAAGGGGTCACGTAGTCGTGGTCATGGCGCCAGGAAGGGGTCACGTAGTCGTGGTCATGGCGCCAGGAAGGGGTCACGTAGTCGTGGTCATGGCGCCAGGAAGGAGTCATGTAGTCGTGGTCATGGCGCCAGGAGGGGGTCACTTAGTCGTGGTCAAGTCAAGAACGTATAATTTAATTTTGATAACAATAGATACAAGTAAAAAGTAGGTATTTTAATAATGTACAAAGTTATTATATTGTATCAAATTAATTAAATACTGAAGGTATGTGGTTACATAAAATCTGTATGGTGTCAAATATATAAATAAAATCATTATGTTCAATTAGTGGTGCACCTAAGTCCTGGAACAAGCTCAGAGGGGGTCATAACCCCCATGACCCCCCACTTGTATCCGCCGTTGATTGCACCAGACAAAGAAAACACACAAAATGATATATTACATAAACTGATACAAAAGGCGATCTTATCGCTAAACAATCTCTTCCAGACTACCAGTAGAGAAAGTAACATTAAGATAAGAAGGGGGTAGGTGGTGCACGTAATGAACATAAATATATATATATACATTTGTACATAAATATATCTATTAATATATATAATATAATAATAATAATAATCTCAGGACAATTCACACAGCGCCATCTAGTCCCAAGTTAAGCTATCTAAAGCT